CCCAGGTAATGTAGTTCAGGTCCGTCTGGGTGTGAGTATCCTGGGGGACAATGCTCGGGTAGAGGTAGTCGATTCTCGGTTGGTAGGGGTCGTTGTAGTCGGATTCTGTTGCAAAGGTCGAGGAGAATTCCTGTTCCTGAGCTCCGGATGGGGTTGGGTCGGGAACCTGAGTGTTCCTGTTCTGCGAGGGGGCTGTCCCTTGTTGGGAAGACTGGGTGAAAAAGGACTGGAGCGAAGCTTGCTGCGACATAATTGAATGTCCAGTTCTTCTGGCGGCGGAGAGTGATGTTTCGGAAAGGTTTCTTTTCCTTCCCTTTGGGAGGTCAAGGCTGGAGAATTCTTCGCTAGAAGCCAGTTTTCTTGGTGTTTCTTTCGCTAGGAACAACAAACGCGACCGTACGACCGGGGGCGAAGTGGCTCAACCTGGTATGGTATACCAGGGTAAACCGAGGGGAATAGAATAAAGTGTTTTTGAAGCGAGGTTAATTATCAGGGAGTTGTTTGCGAGCCTTAGCGAGCAAGTAGAATACAGAGGTTGCGTAAGGAAAGAAGGAAAGAAAGAAAACAGATAAAAGCACGAGACAACGCCCCCTTATATATCCAACCATAGTCCAATGATGACTAATACCTCCGCGTAACAGAAACAGAAAGAACATAACAGAAATCACCATTGCAAATCCTAATTCCACTGCACAATACCTCCTTTCCTCATTCTAGTTTATCAACTAGCCGAAATACATAGCTGTCGTTACAATTGGTTTCTATTATACGAAACTATAAATCATACTTGGAATGGAATTATCGGTTATATAAAGGAGTTCTATCTTTGGTTCTTGTTATGTTTCTCCTTTCCTCTTTACACAACTTTCTTTATTCTCTCTTTTCCGGTTAGTTTACAATACTATTCTTATGTTACATTATACAATTCTGGACACCTGTATCCCCAGGATACAGGTCAGCTACTTGAGTCCACAGTCCATAGTTTATGTTCTCATCTATGCTAATAGTTACACGTAAAATCAGTAATTACTCTGAGGATAGTTACTATTCTTTGACACCTGAAAACATATAAGCATTGGGGTGAGTAACGAACCCCTACTCCAAATACTATAATTCTATAAGTTGTCGGTATCATATAATATCTCTCGATTTGTACCGTTACCCTGTATATACTCATAAACCACACAGTTAGACAAACTCTATTATATATAGAATATTAGGTAGGCTCTGTCTTATTAATGTTGAATAAATCTTTCCATATCTATCAAATACTTTCTATTCCAAGAAGTTTATTTGTAAGGGTATATATGAATTACTCCTGGGATTTGAACTCACTTTAGACAGTGTTTGATAGGGGAAAGATAATATTTTCTATTATAACAACTATATAGAGAAACCTTACTATTTTGTTGGCGAAGGTGGGGGGATTAAAGATCTTGAGTATACTGGAGATTTACATTAAACATGAGAAGAAAACATGATAAAATGGTAAATAGGGAGTCGAGAACTGTTATCGGTAGGGCCGATAAGTCAAAAAAAATCCCCATTGAATTGTTTAATTATGGAAGCAGAAAAGAAAGAGGAGAAAATCAAAGATAGTTTAATGTTACTTGGGACAGTGGATGTAGGTAAGAGTATAAACTATAGCTACCAAGGGATACAACCAATGTAGAGGACGTGGATATAGACTATAGACTAACTGAAATATTGTAGTCTTCCTTATTAAGGTATACTAGGGGACAAAGACTATGGACTATGGACCCAAGTGGCTGACCTGCATCCTAGGATACAGGTGTCCAGAATTGTGTAATGTAACACGAGAATAGTATTGTAAACTAACCGAAAAAGAGAGAATGAAGACAGTTGTATAAAGAGGAAAAGAGAAACATAACAAGAACGAAAGATAGAACTCCTTTATATAACTGACAATCCCAGTCCGAAAATGACTCATACCTTCAGATAATAGAAATGAATAGAATTCAAAAGAAACCTATATTACAAATCCTAACTCCGTTACTAATTGGTTCCTCTTTACGCCTCAACACGATGTCCGAGCATACTGCCATGATGCTATTATAGATAAATTTATATAAACTGGAAAGCTAACAGGGAGGAGCTTCCAGGAAAAAATAAACTGCCCCCAATTAAATCATGTCACTTGTAGTTAGATTTGTAATCAGGTCTAAATCCTGATTTGATTTCTTGGTATACCTAACATCGCCCAATTGGGTTTATCGTACATTTAAGTAAAATTTGGGGAATTTATTACTTTGGCAAACGGTCTCTGTTCTTTTCCAAATAATAATTCTGCATTGCACAATCTCCCTATTGCAACAGAAATCTTTCCTACGGTTACAGGAAGGGTGAAATTCGGTTCATCAGCATGATTTAAGCATTGCCGGTCCGAAACCCTTCGTTACAGGTTCGCTGGAGTTCACTACAGTGGGTAGTCGCTGTACCTTTCGAGCTGTCACCCGCTATTGGAATACCTGCCTTATTCGGCCAATAGCTAGTTTTCTTACGCTTCACAACCTGAAATCTACTAGTAACTACTCCTCGTTGGATCCAGTGCTCGTTTCGCAAGCTGTCCAACTACTAATTCTTCCCACTAATAATATAGATTCGACTAAAACCCACCGAAACGACCCGACAACACACCGAACTGGGTGAGAGGAAATAATTGTTGAGAGTTGAAGGATGCCAGCCTTCCCATTCAACGCCAATTATGAAAGAATTTCTACACGTTAGTTTTGGTATGGTTAAGCCCTAGCCTCTCCACCGTGTACCATAACTCCGTGTTCATGAATAGCTCTACTCTAATGGCAAATAATTAATTCTCCAGTCCAATTGACCAAGCTCTATTTATGTATTTTAGTCTACCTTTTCCATCTACAGCAGTACCTCCCTATAAGGGTACCTCTATGGCGTGTGCCTATTTAACAAAGGTTATTTTGTACTTAAAAAGCCCAATGAGGACCAAGAAGTCGTACCCTTACAGAGAGATTCGATCGTACTCTAGTTTGCGAGTTTTTTCATTTCCCGACTTCGAGCACCACAACTAGTATGTATGTACCTACACATATTTCCATATCTACCGCCCCATACCGCTCTCACAATATATTGTTTACTTTAGGACTCTGTACGGTCCTGCGATATTTATGACTGTCTTCACCGACAGACAGAGACTCGATTTTTTTTTACGGGTGAAATTAAGGGCATTGTCATTGTTATTAAAAACTTCTTTACACCATAAACCGTTCATTCAACTTCCCAGAAAGAAACGAAGGCACAACCGCGCATTACGTCTACCGTCGACCACCTACAACAAAGCGCCAGCGAAAGCCAGGAGACCAGCAATAGCTCCATAGCTATAGCCGGGGGTGATAACAGTACCAGAATTTGTTGAGGTGCTTGTGGCTGAGGAGGAGGTCGGAGTTCCGGAAGAACCGCCCCCAGTTGTGGTAGCAGTCGCGCCGGAACCAGCGGAAGTTCCGATGGAAGTTCCGGTGGAAGATCCGGTGGCAGTGGCAACCGAACTAGTACTGGCTGTTGCAGAGTAGGCACCGCAGTACGAGATTATGGTGTTCTTAATGGACGAGGCAGCTGTTAGGCAGATATTAGCCAAGCACATATCAAATAAAGGTGGTAGACAATGTCACGACTTACTCGGGTCACTAGGGCAGTTGTTATAGCATGTTGCCAAATCTGTGTATTGAAGGCAAAGACATTCATAATCATTTCCATTTTTGGCTAAAAAAAAACATTAATATCATATACTTTCATGAGGTGTGTTATTGGAAAACATACTGCAAGCAGTGATTCTAGGCGAAATGAGGTTAATGCAAGCCTCTGTCCACTAATTAGTTTTATTTTTCGACAAAGTTCGAGGAAATCAGCTAGTCTTCACGTACCGACAATACTAATCACGAGGTTTAATTAGAACTCGAACTACATCCGATAGTGAGATGGACAAAGTACTTACTTGGCAGCATCACAGCTTTGATCCACGGTCCATTGGGAAGACTGAGCCGCGACGTATCCACCGAAAGTAGCGATGGCAAGAAGTACTCGGGTGGGATGCATATTGTTGTGTGCTGGAATTAAGGTATTAGGTAGGAGAGTGAGGATTGAGAGTAACAGAAACTAAAAAGAAAATTTGAATTTGAATTTAACGCGTAGCGACAGTGGATGAAAAGTGAAGAGGGCAGATGTGAAGGAAAGGGGGGGGGGGAGGCAAAATATATGGTGCTCGTCAGGTATGTAAATTTACCCTATTACGAGATTCTTATTTTGGAGAGTATGCATATCTCGAAGTTGGGGTTGCCAAAGCCGTCCACTAGCCCCTGCAGGGACCGAGTTCCCTGCCAAGAGAATTTACCCGCGTTCCACCCAATCAAATCGTACATATCGTCTGGGGTAGTCTGATTGTGGAGATGGGTTGAGACAAATCTAGGCATGCAGGATCAATCACAGTTTGACCTAAATCCAACATCGGGAAAACACCTTGTTGTGGTGATCAAGCAAGGGGAAATAAATAACACCGCTTACCCGAAGGCTCATCTAAAGTCTCGAGCGAAGCCAGAGAAAGCTATTAAGGATGTTCTTAATTGCAATGAAAAATAACCCCTTATTGATATTGCAACGCCGTTGGATTATATCAATCCCAGCTTCTTCTTTCCTTCCAGATTCCACATACAAATTCAAATCCAAATACTACTACAAGAGCTCATCTATACGAGCAAGCTGCTTCTCAGATCCCCCAACGAATTTGATCACATATCAAGGATGATAAAATAATGCTGAAGGTTCCCTCCCAGTTTTGATTTCAATGTTGGGAGAAGAAACATAAGTCCAAGCTGCTCGCACAAGGAATAGACCAGACCACCATACCAATTATCACACACCTCCAAGAATGCAAGCAAAGGATAAAATGAAAGAAAAAAGGAAACAAGAAGCCTTAAGAAGAGATTATGAAAATAGAATTCAAGGCCTCCAATATTTTATTCTTGCCCAAATCCCATAGTTTCTTCAACTGCCAACGATAGTTTCTGGTTGAGAACATCATAACTCTTGTATGGGGGCAAATCTAATCGATTGAAACTGGAAAGAGCAAGAGGCTCGTTGTTAGTTTATGTTCCAATGCCACGGAGTGAGACTTGGACAGCTTACCATGTATGAGACTTCGGCAATTGCTGGATTTCCCCTGCCTTCTCAATAGTGAACCGACGTGGTCCATCACTGCCTTGCAAGTCCTTGAACCCATTGACAGGTATACGCGATGTACCTGTGGTGAATTGAAGAAGTCTCGACTTTTGTTCAGCATCCCAGCTTCGAACACACTGTTGTAAGCCGTTAGCGCACGAGATAAGCAAGCGGGATCAAAGTGGTAGATCAACAACTTGCCTTCCAGAAATTAACGATTACGTCGTCGCTCTCGGTGTAACCTCTATAGTCTGTATGCTTCTTCCAGTCCTCGACGTCGATATCTGCGATACCTCCGATCAACAACTCCAGCTCTCTCTCATCAAAAACGCCGACAAGATCTGCCGGAATGAGCTCATGAAATCCCTCAACAAAATTATCAAACTGTTCCTTAACTCGTTTTTCAATACGCCATTCTGTGACAAGACTAGATAGTCACAGGTTTTAGCATGTAATACTCAATGAATCCATGCACGGAGTTTAAAAGGCCAACATACTCAACGTATTCACGTTTATTATCATTCGTGACTTCGATATCACTACCGCCAGGTTTCAAGTCAATCGTTACGGTTTCTCCGAATCGACTATCTTCTGTAGAAAATGTCAAGTCTAGAATATCTGTGATGTCATTTTCCCTGTTTATAGCGCTATATTAGTCCCCTACTTTTTAAAACCAACACAGGGGGAAGATTATGCAATAACATACAACATCCATGTTAAGTTCCTATGAAAATCTGCATCGACACCCTCCATATCCGCCAAGACCACTTTTTTCCTTAGAATCATCTTGTAGAAGGCACCAATGAAAAAAGCATCCAGAAAGCGCCTGTGGAAAATTGCTAGGCCAACCACGCGCCCGATGAATTTGAAGTAGGCAAGATGTTCCGGATTGATTCCAGAATGGGGGTTGATTTGAAGGGTGTAATTGTCGTGGGCTGAATATTCAAATAGGCAATAAAATGGATTAAACATCTCATGAGAAAGGAGGAAGAAAAACTCCCTAGTAACAATTGGTCAACAGATCGCTGGGAATGTCCTAAACAATAACGGAATTACCTAGATAAACCACCATAGTCTAATCCGTCCTCTCCATCAAACTTGACCATTAACCGCTTTTGGAGATCAGCGGGGGATTGGCGCATGATTTGGGCATAAGAATCTTCAAAAATATGGTTTCTGCGGACTTTGATATGACATTGGCCAGACAAGATACGGAGCGCAGGCTGTGAGCGAAAATAAATGAGCTTCCGCCTGAAATCGCGCTTGTATTGTGGTACGTTCTGATCTAAGGAAGAAGGAAGTCGAGGATCATCCCATGTAGTTGTCTTAGTGTTATGGTCGACAAAATATACCCTTGCCGTATTGGTCAATCTCATCTCCCATCCGCTTGGTAAAGGTCCCAACTGGGAGACCGGTTGTTGTTGAATACTTTGTGCACCTGCATTGTTCCCATACATACGAATATACTGTTGTCTCCTAGGGTCTACCCATGTTGTCGTGCGGGTATTGTGATCAACAAAATAGGCCCTCCCCTCTGGTGTGTGTCTTTGTTCCCAACCTGGAGGAAGTTCACCAGTTCCAGCTGTAGTGGCCCCTGTCGCCATCATTGATACCTGACTAGTATTATTCGAGTGTGTTTCTTGTGATTGTGATGCTGATGGGGTGGGAGAACTTGCACCAGTTCTATCCTCTGGTAGCATTCGATTCTGATGCCTCGTTCTCTCAAGATCAGTGTTTTGTTGCATGGCAGCTCGTTGATCTGTTTCATTGTATGTGGTGGAAGGCCTGTTCCAAGTGGTTGTTCGAGTATTGTGATCAACATAATACGTTCTTCCCAAGTTATCCTGTCGTCTTTCCCAGCCAGCAGGTAGTCGTCCCTGATTGTCCTCAAACGAACTCATGTTTCTTGCGGTCCCATTGGGTGCAGCAAGCTGTGCTGTCGTTGGTGCTCCGTTTGCTTGCGTCTGTGACGGCGCCCTTTGGGGTGCTGGGCTGGCCACAGAGACTGCTGATTGCCGACCCAAATCTGAGTTATATACCGATCCCCCAGCTGGAGAAGACTGTCCATTATTCGAGCCCCCTGGCACAGGCAAAGTCGGTCGAACCGCAGTGGTTTGGTTTGGTGCCCTGATGGGGGTGTCGATGTTGGTGGTGAGATTGACTATTAGCTTTCCATGAACCATGACATTTTCGTTCGATTTCTTCAAATCTCGAGTGAGCATTTCTGAAATTGCGAGTCATGTCAGTTGCGTTTTCGCAGAAACTTGCGAGTAAACGCCGACATACCTTCTCCACCCAGCCCGATATCTAATACATTCCCAACCTTGATATTGATTACGCCGAGAAATCCTTGGTCTTTCTTTTTCCATTTTCTGTGATCAAATATCTGTACGGCTACTATTGATGACTCGGAAACTTGTCTGTATGTTATCCGTAAGCAGAATATCCAAGCTACGCCAAGGACGACCATACAGATCAAACGACTCATTCCAGTATGGATTTAAAGTTTTCTTTATCACTGCAGTTGAACGAGTCTGCTCTCCATCAACGGTGACAACAGCAAACGGATCGGGAAATCCTGGTGCCCAGTTAACGCCCCACCCCCGCTATTTCTTCCGGTAAAAGTTAGGAACCTACTGAAGACATCTCTTTTATAAAGACCATCCGCGGCGATGACTACTCGAGACACGTTAACAGCCGCCTTATTTTTCTCTTGCTCTTAGGGAAAGAGCAAGTGGGTTAGAGAGCGGAGATGGCGGGGAATGGCGGGGAATGGGAATAAGCTGTGATTGTTGGGAACGCACCTGTTATTCGAATCTTCCGCGGACTCCTGAAGATAAATTAGTTATCAGGTTTGCTGACACCGTTTGTTTGAACAATTCGAGGAGCGAGTTCAACGTACGCAGGCCCACCATCAGTCATTGTTCTATATGTTGTATAATGATACTCGCTTGTTGACAGTAGATAACTCAGGAGACGCTTATTCGAACGAGAAAAGAGGGCAGGCACAAGCTAAGAAGAGAGAGAAGTTGGAGGTGGAGAAAGACAAAACGGAGGTTGCAGTCAACGAGGCTGGGTCACTTGTATGCTTGCAGGTATACGTCAAGAGAGTGGCAGTGCTTCGCCCGTAAGCTCCAAAGAGAGCGTTAGGAAGCGGCTGTGGCAGTAATGAACGCAACGCAAAGCGAAACGTCTCACTAATAGGCTAGCAAACACGACAAGGAGAAAAGCGTATAGCCAAATCGTAAGCCTTACCAAGCACAATAAAGAAATCAAGTAAGGCTGTGATAGGGAGAAAAATGATGAGAAGATAGGAGGTAGAGATATGAGATGAAGCAGAAGAGGAGGAGGAGAGAGGACTGATCGCAATAGCGACGATATTGCTTATGGTGATGGTAGAGGAGATGGTGAAGGCCCCAATAACACGAATCTTTATCCGGAGCCTGTCGCTTCTGTTGCCGCTGCTGCTTCTTCCTCTTCTTCTTCTTCTTCCTTCTTTTTATCCTTCTTCCTCTATCACTTTTGCTGTTGTTATTTGATGTGAAGAAAGTTGTTTGTGGAGAGGTTCTAAGATCCAGTGCCAATGTATGCAGGCAGAACGCGCGAGGACCTCGCAGAGAGAGTTTACTATGTGGCGTCTTGACTTCACTCGCCTCGTTCTCAGCCCCTCTGAGTGTGCCAGGGTCCTCTTGACTTTCCTGCTCTCTCCGCTCTCCCCTCATCCCTCATCCCACATCCCGCATCCCACATCCCGCATCCCGCATCAATATCCCATATCCTTCTTACACATAACTCACGAACTGATACATGACCCCGCCATGTGTGCGCAGACCCTCTGCATGTACATCCACCAATATCACATCTTCCCACGAACACATGTACTTCATGTAAGTACATGTACTTATAGATAACAGCTTCTCCCATAACCACAGCAATACCTTCACCTACCTGTAATCCCACGGCCTTTTATTACACTGCTACTACAAACGTCACCGCTTCCCTTGACTTGCTCTACCAGTTTTCTCTCGCCCCAGATTTCCTGCCTTCGTATACTCCCAGTTAATATTCTACCCTGATCTATTTGATCACAACGTCCCAGGAATAGCATCCACTGCCCCTCTCTTCCCACTCTTATATCTCCTGTACTGGTGCCGGTAACGCGAATACAGACTTTCCAAGACCAATCAAGCGGTTCATGCGATAACGAAACAATATTATACAAAGTTCAAATATCAATGAAAGGTAAATGCAAACGAAGAGAGAGAGAGAGAAAAGGAAAGAAAATTGGTTGTTCGAAATCTCCACACCCGGCCCGTGCCATTTCTTCCGCTTTTTGATTCTCCCCCGTCGGTACTCATTTCATCTGAATGAAAGAATAGATCCTTGCAGCATACTAGCCATTATCATACTGCTGTTGCTGCAGAAAGAAAAAAATAGAGAGAGAGAAAGAGGGAGAGAGAGAAAGAGAGAAAGAGAGAGAGAGGGGGAAAAAAAAGACTCAATGGACGCGTTCACACGATCGAGCTAATCCGAGGCTTTTTTTTAAAAGAACACATCTAGTAAGGCGCATATCCTCTGCCCCTCGCCCTGTATCCGCCTCTGTAACTACCGCGGGGTGCATACCCACCGCGGTACGCAGGAGGAAACCCACCTCTCCCTCCTGGCGCACCCCTCCCACGACCCCGTCCACGATTCATTCCAGGAAGATTTGTACGCTTGGGAACAACCTAAGGCGAGCGTAAGTACTCTATAACACCAAAGCACTGCAGGTAGAAGAGGGTATTGGCCTACCTTGAGCGAACGGCCACGGAAGACACTTTCATTGAGAACCAATGCTTGTGCCACCAAACTGGGCTCTGTGAACTCAACATAAGCATACCTAATGATTTATTTATATACGGTTAGCATCTTTTGCACTTAGAGCGGAATAGAGAAGGTGTAGGAAGGCTTGATTAACAAAACATACCCTTTCGGATGCCCTGTAAATTTATCCAACAAAATTGTAACTCTATTGATGGACCCGCAACTCTGAAAGTGTGCCTGAATTTCCTCTGGACTAGCTCCATAATCCACATTTCCAACGAAAATGCTTCGCGCGTCGATATCCTCTTTGTCCTCACGTAGATCATTATTCTCTTTGTCTAATGTCGCTTGCATTTCCCGTAGCTTCGCGGCTTCGGCTTCCATCTCTGCAACCCTTCTTTTCATGGCTGAGATTTCCTCCTATAGATGCGAAACCCCAACTCATCAGCTTTCAATAACACTCCGGATGGTGAAAATCTCCCGAAGTTGAGCTAAGGGGTAAAATAAAAAATTTGCATGTCGGAAGGAAGTCTGAGATTTTGGATATCTGATCTAGCGGTCGTCCATCCAGAGACTATTCTCAAATAACAGAAGAGAGAAAGTTCAAGGTCACTGATATTCCATACCTCCTCATCGCCACCTTCTTCATGACCATCTATACGTTCTTCGAGCTTGCTTGGTTCGTCCATATTTAACGCGTTGCTAGTATCCAGAAGTTCTAATCCTAAAAGTTCATACGCAGGAGATAAGATCAGCCTCAATACAACGCGACAATATATGAAAGGTGGTTAGGGGAAGAAAAAGGTGGGGCATGGAGACTGTCGGAAGAGAAATCGGAAACTTGAGACTAGCAACCTGGCAATCGCTGTTTAAGGATCACGATTTTTTCGTACAGTGGTTGGGGAGGGGGACTCACTCGGTGGCTGCAGAGTTTGTGTTCGTCGCAGAATTCAAGTACTGGAAGTGAAGAGTAAATGGTAGATGAGTGTGTCGTGGTGGTTGTTGTCAAGAGGCCGCAGCAACGAACTTCTTTCTCAGTTGTCGAGGGTTTACGAGCTTGGCTTTCCTGTGCTGGATCTGTTGACGACCGCCAAGCTTATAACATCACCAAAACTGGTTTAGGCTGCCCGCATTCAGTGGTATTTAGTTGAGTCCAATACAATACATTGACAAATCTTCAATCGATTCTTCAACTGTCATTTCCAAACTAGTTCCCGGCATGTATCCAATAATTTACCAATCTCAAGCCCTTATCAGCTAATATATATCCACGATACTTCTGTCGAGATAATATATCATTAATAAGACATCATATTATACTAACCCTCAAATTAGTAAACGAGCTCGAGTTTTTGTAGAATATTTAAGCATAATCTACATAGTACTTACATGTAGGATACAATACTTATTATTTCCTTGCGATATTTAGGCAAATACTCAGTCTGGATCCTCGAGTACCTCATCATTTCTCCTGCAAATTTACAATCGCTTTCTCATATCTCTTCCTAATCTATTGGTCACCATAAGCTGACCATTCTCTCAACTGGTTCCGAGTAAGTATATACTCCTACTATCATCACAGCAGCCTTTTCTTCCATCATGAACCCTCATCTTAGATTTGTAAGTAGGTTGTTTCTTCTTTCTTTCTTTATTTTCTGTTATTCCGTAATACCTCTTGTGTAGTAGATGTACATCTCCACATGTATGTATGGATAGTACAGGTGCACCTCGATTTCAGAAACGTCTTTCATTCCAATCTCAGTACATAAGTATACGTGGCAACCCTTGATTGTAATCCACAATGTACCAATAGCAATGAGATGACCTTTGAGAAATTTCTTATTGAAATAACTCTATGCTAACACATAGTTACCCAGATTGAAAAACTGAGAGCAATCAAGCAATCAATCAAGTTGGATATCCCTCTTCCGCCGAAGATCGAGGCAAATCGAGGTAAATCGGGTCAAACTATCGCGTTGTATCGAGCGCAAAACTAACTTTGTTGATACAGTGCAGGACCTTCGAATTCATGCAATCAGCATATATGAAATTACATATTTATACCTTCCATAATTAATAACCATGATTGTTTTCTCCTCGCAATGTTGTGCTTCAAGAGCGTTCCTCGATAGGGACTTTCTATTTGCAAGCTGCGGCCGGCATGCCAAACATCAAGAAATAAATACAATCCACCCAGGGATTAAAGCAACGAGGATAGTATTTTAAAATTGGGTAATGTGCTATGAGTTCAAAGGACATAAAGGTCTTTCAGCGGTATGTTAGTTGTCTGAAGATGGGGGATAACGCTGGAAGGAGATGTACAAGCAAACAGCTTCCAGCGCGCAATAAGAAGAGTTTGTGCCCGGAGATATAAAATATATCCATCCACAAGAGATTCAAAGTATGTAACAATTTTTGAGAAAAACGCAATGATCCGTTAAGGTGTAGCCTACTCGGCATCACCATTTCGAACTAATGGGCTCCATGAGGTCCTTATCATCCAATTGGTGCAGCTAAAAACCTCTATTGGGGCCAAATGCTTTTTCTATTCAGAAGAAGTAAATGGGGGGCCGGAAGAAAGCTGGCCGGATAGGTTGGCTACTCTATCAGGTAGAGCATGGGTGCTTTTAGAGATATGAAGGTGCACGCAAACTGCAGACTGGTTCGTCTATCCGATCCGTTCAACACAAGGCGGGAAGGGAAACCGGGGAGATAGATATCGTGGCAAGACCATGCCGTACGCTTCGTACCTACATGTATGCATGTCCTCACAATGTACGAGCACGTATTGTAGAATACCTACACAGTACTCTAGAGTAAGAGGTACTCTATGATGTAGATACAATAGATAGTGGAGTGGAGCGCCTACATGTAGATATAATTAACCTGCAAGACCCCAGGACGAAACGAAGTCGAGACAGAGTATTGGCTAACCGTGCCGTATGCAGTGGGATATCGATTGGGAAGTCTTATTCATTCTAATCGGGCAACGAGAAAATGAAGATAGAAAAAAGATGCGTTTTGGTTCGTATCGTTTCACCCCTGCTATCTATCATGACAAGCGCTGGCTGAACATCAGTACTGTAGGTACGAATAAGTACATACCACGACTGCCGGTTGTAGAAAGCTGCTGGCAATGAACCACAGCCGCAATCCCGGCGAGCACATAGATGTACCGTATGTACTCGGGGCAGGCATGAAGAACCTGAACATCGTTTTTCTGGTAGCAACCACTTTGACCCCTGCTAGCGCGTTTTTATGTTCAGGTTCTTGTTACCTGCCCCGAGTACCTACATGTATCTATATGTACATACAGACACCACCTACTCACTTCCAAGTTCTTGTTAGCTACATGTAGGTACATATTACGAATCGCGTGCGTGAGAAGATCAGGAATGGAAACTAATTTATGTATGTACACATGTCTGGTTGTTTGTCAAAGTAACGTTTTGCCATCTCGCTCAAGCGGGATCGGCTATTCGCGTGGCGATAGATGGAAGGTTCGGCTCAAGAAGCGAAGACCTCAATTGCAACCAGACTGGTCCCCGAAATCTTGGCCAAACGTCAGGGCATCATAATAGGATCCATACTGTACCAAACAGTAAGGTACGTGTTCCTGATGTGTGGTTCCTGAACTATCAATCTCCAAAGGGGAATCGATATCCCACTTGCAGACAGAAAGAAAGAAAGAAAAAGGAAACATGGACTCGTCGCTATGGGCCCTGGTCTAGAGCCATGGTTACTCTGATAGGTAGTCTAGTTCCGAGCCTTTCGAAAATTTCATTCCATAATTTGCACAACTCAACACTCGCAACATTGCAATAATACCAATCCCATCTATCTATCTGCCGGCGCAATGAAGATGGAGCAGACTTTCCATTCCAATGCGTAATTCAATGTCTTCGATCTAGACAGGATGTACCCTACCTGTAGGATTTGACGATACGCAACTCTGGGTCCAGTTTCAGCTGCTGTAGAGTAGGGTACTGCCTACTCTACTCTAGAGTAGGTACATATACTTGAGTTGTGAAAAAAGAAAGACGTAGCTCGATGACATCGCCGAACGGAGGACGGACGATGAATGTACCAATCAAACAAAGCAATTATCAAAGAGGCACCCATCCTACTGGTATTCTGGGGATCGAATTCGCTTCAGCTATTGTATCTTAGACTGAGAAGATGCAAAAGTAAGACTAAAAAGGCTGGCCGATGCAGAAACTTGCGCACACAACACAAAAGACATATTTGACTGCGTATGTGCTTCTAGGTGCACATCAGCACTTACTGTGTTATCCATTCTCATTAAAGTACGTGCATAAGTATTTACTTATGACCGGCCGGGTACCTAGACTCGTAGAGTAAGTATATTCACCCGCATGTATCTTACTATGCACATACTTGAGAAAGATATATACTCGTAGTTTTCTAACGTTTCCGAACTGGACTAGGTCTGCATACCACCAAAATCCGGTTGTCATGCACGATTTTCGCCCATATATAGACTCAGTCTAGTTCGGAAACATTAGAAAACTACGAGTACACGGACTTCTAGAGTAAGTACATATACTTGTATAGATAAATTTGGTCAAGTAGAGTTAAGTATCCATAGGGACCTATGCTTAGTCCTCTACTGCACGACTTGATACTACATACATGTATGTATGTATCTCGGTAACGAAACGTACCCTATATAATGCATCGTATATAGAGTACCTAGAGTACATACAAGTAATATTTCTGCAGCCCTGCGGGGTACCTGAGTTTCTGACACTAGGTTTTCGCTAATCCATTTCGATTCCATGCGCCTCGGAATTCCAACTTGCGGGATCATGGTGCGTAAACATCTCGTTATCAAATGTCCTATCGTGGTGATCACCCGCAGGACGGTAGAATTTTGAATAAAGATCATAGTTTGCCGTCAGTCGGGGGGGGGAGGGGGCCGGGGTTAGGTGGGCGATATCCCGGCTCGCATCGTCGGGTAAAGGTAAACCCGAATGCAAGGAGACTCGTATTTGGAAGTTTTGCGCATTAGAAATATCAGTAGAGACGAGCGCAAAGCACAGGCAGGAGCTGGCTACCTACACCGATGCGGTTGTTTTCGAGTTTTCAGAGGTGACAGTTGTCCAGCGAAACAAACTCCAATAAACCATCTCCAAGCCTCAGTTAGGTACACTAGTAGCTACTGTCTGTATATCCGCCGCGGAGCAGTCCTGTAGACTCGTAGAGTACGGTATCGTAGGTGCACAGCTACCCTAGAGTACATATACATGTAAGTACCTACTTACAGTGGGGCATACATGTAGGAGTGCTGGACTACATGTAACTGCCGGTCCAAAGAATACATGTATTTCTTGTGCCTTAGGAGACCTAGGACGATTTAATTTACCTACAATCAATCGCTACGTTAGAGTCCCAGACGGATATATATTTTGTTTTGTTTTCTTCTTCTTCTTCTCTGGACACGGATCGCACATCGCTAATTGTTGTTTAATACATACATGTATTCAATTTAAAAAGGTTCCCCGAGATAACTGGCTAACCTGGAATTTACAGCTCAGTTCTACTCTAGCATCTCTAGGTAGTGGCATGGCAGCTTGGTTGTGGTTGTAGGTACCTGAGATGTGGAGACGATTGGCTTGACAAGCTGCTTAAGCGACAGGGGCACATGGCTTGGGCCGGGGGGGGGGGGGGGGGGGGGGGAGGTCTGGGTGTGGTGGGTGCAGTAGGTGTGGTGGGTGGATGTGGAGCGGGACAGGCACAAAGACACAAATCACGCAGAAGAGTAGAACAAGGAAACCAGGGTTAGGGCGCAACAGTAATGTCAGGGGTTGTCCTGGGCAACTAGCGAAGTTTAGGTTTAACCAAGCACCACCAAATGGCACTAATAAGCATGGCCATTTCCCGAACCACTGTTGCGCCACACCAATAGGCCCGTTAGCGCACCAAGTGATGCAAAGCGAAGCAGACATCCGAGGATGTGTGGTATTTAAATTACCCCTGAGAAGAAATGCCCTGTCGCGCCATTTGGTACCTGAGTCTGACTAAATCTGGAAGTGCTCACACCCAAAACGATGGTCAACGTCAAAGATCTAGGACGAGGGAAAAGCCCTTGTTTAGAGGCACCTGGTACATCATAACCTTTGTCGGACAAGCAAACTAGTGTAGCAAGAGACTAGAAGGATGAAATTCAAAAGAGAAAGGGAAAGGTTTGAATTGCAGGGGAAATTCAAGCCAGACGGTCAGACATGCGGTTTGATCCACGTAAAAAGCCTGCCTGCTTCCCTGCCTGCATGTCCCGGGTGTACCTCTCTTCGACTTTCTCTCTCAATCCTTCTTTTTTTTTCCTTTACATCCAATCACACACATCATTTCTGTTTACACAGAACCACACTCCTTGCTCATTACCTACGAGTAGTAATTTTTTTCTTTTTTTCTTCTTTGCTGCAGCCTGTCTGTCCCCCATCCCCTCCTCTCTCAGCCTCTTACTCTCGCTCATCCCACCCACGTTCCTTTTCTTACCGCTCTGCAGTGGAAGCATTGGAAAATTTGATCACCCTGTCCCCTGCCCCATCCCTTCCTTCCCCATTGCACCATTGCACCCCCCCCCCCCCCCCCCCACCTCCTACGCTTAGTCTATTGGGTCCACGTCGGTCCCGTCCCTTCACTTTCTCGCCTCCGGAATCTATATAATAGCTTCCTGGCTCGCTCGCCAATCGTTCTCATCCATCATAGACATCCATTGCTTCGGAGTAGCCATTCCTTTCTGCTCTGCTCGTGAAACGACGTTCCCTGGTGAGCTTTGCTATTCTATATAGAACATTCACTCCCTCCCTCAGCTTATTGCTATCCACGACAACACTCAATACAATTTGCAATCGCTAGACGATTCCATTTCACAGCTCTTACAGCAAAATCACAGGAATAGCATTATCACTCACTATCACCACTGCCACCACCACCACCACCACCACTATCAATCATTATTATTATCACCATGAAGTTCTCAACCACCACTTTGGGCTTTGTCCTCTCTTTGTCTGCCGTCATGGCTGCTCCCCTCAAGGAGCGTGCTGTCGAGGTTGCCACTGTCACCGAGACCTACACTAAGGTTGTTCAATCAACAGCTGTAGTTTGGGTTGCTCCACCTGCAAAGAGTGAGCACCCTGCTGCGTACTCCGCAAAGCAATATGGGTATGAGCCCTCCAGTATTACTACTACTCATGAGGCGGTCGTCGAAACATCGACACCACTCTCATCTATTCCGTCGACTCTGTCGACATCATCTACCTCCTCATTTTCGTCATCATCTCTATCGTCTTCATCAACTGAATCGACTACTAGCTCCTCAACCGAATCTACCTCCACCGAGGCCACCACCACCACCACCGAGTCTACCTCCACCGAGGCTAATTCTACCTCCACCTCCAGCTCCACCGAGGCTACATCTACCTCAACTACCTCAACTGCTGAATCCACGACTTCTACTACTGTAGAGCCCACAACATCTACAACCAGCCAGGAGCCGACCACTTCTTCCACATCGGTCTCAATCCCTTCAACTACCATTGAGATTCCAACCACAACCTCCGTCATACCTACTTTTACCCCGTTATTCGTTCCGACTACTACCCAGCCCGCTGCTACCTCTGCTGTCGCAAAGGCTGTAGAGTCAGCGGTCAGTAGTGGTTCTGGTTCTGGTATGTATGCGGGAGAAATGACGTACTATACGCCTGGCCTCGGCTCTTGCGGTATAACGAGCGGTGAAAGCGATTACATCGTTGCTCCCTCTCACCTATATATGTTGGAGAGTTATTCTTCGGGTTTAAACCCTAACAAGAACCCTAAGTGCGGTAAGTAAGATCCTTCCAAATTGTACTTCCAATATCTAACAATTTTGCAGGTCAGCAAGTTATGATGACGGGCCCAACGGGGAAACAAGTTCCTGCAACCATTGTTGATACTTGTCCAGGATGTGTGAGTAATTCTTAATCCTAGACATCAGTATTTCTTTTTCTAATGTCAACCTTAGAATGGCATGTATGATCTCGATTGCACTCTCGAACTCTTCAAGGCACTCGGTTGCACTGAGATTGATGGAAGGTGTAAGATGACCTGGTCACCCATGTAAACAAAAGTGTCTTTACTTTTGTTTATTTAGTTCTCCAGTGTTCTTTTTTTCGAGCCTTTTCATTACCCCGTTTTGAAAACTGGGCAATGGTAAATGGAGTCCATTAGCCTTGTGTGTGGCTTTTTCATATTTTTTCCTGGTATATGTTTGGTGGTTTCGGGGTAACGGAGGGGCTTCGGCGTAGTCTTGGCCAGTTTTTTAGTTTTTTTTTGGCCTTTTTGACCTTCTTTTTGTCTGGGACAGTGTTTCAGATCTTTTATTTCATTTCTTGTATATTCATTCATTCCTTTACGTTTTGGCTTGCCATGTTTTCCTTCTACAGTGCCTCGCTTAGCGGTACTGCGACATATATCCCTCGCTTACATATGCGTTACTCTTCATACTATCATCTACATAGATTTTCTTTTCACTGGATCTCAAAAAATCTCTGCTGGCTTTGGCACTGCGGACACACTTGGTTTTCTCTTCCTCTTTACAATAAGCACATCTATGTAGACTATACTATACCTTAATTTATCTTACGACTTATGCTTTACTGTGCCACTTGCAATATAAACACAGTTTAATGTCTGACGATCATCCGTACACGCCAAATGCTGCAGCAAATGGACCTGAGATATAACTAGAGTATATGTAGTACTCACGACAACTCACGCACAATTGGCTCCTAGATATCCTGGACACGATGCGTGATAGGCTAGCGGAATATGAGGGCACATTACGCCCTGAAAGAGTGCACACACACACACACACACATATATATATATACCTACATCTTGCAAACCCACACATCATGGTAGACGAGCCACTCGGGTCGTATTCATCACAACAGCTACTACTACTACTACTCGTAATTTCATAGCGTTTGTGAACATAGCTGGGTCTGCATACACCAAAATCTGGAGCCTCATGCAGGATTTTGCAGGTATGCAACCCAGTTGTGTTCACAAACGCTATGAAATTACGAGTACTACTGCCTACTGGTAACAACTACTGGACGGTATAAATGGAGACGGCGCAAAGGGTTGTTTTGGAAAATGCACTGTTTGCTCCCCATGGGGAAGGCGGGGCGTTGAAGAGGAAACCGGGGGGGGGGAGGGTGATTTTCGTATTCTAGCTATAGCTCCCCCCCCCCCCCAATCATTCAATGCCGCTTCATGAGCGAACAGCTTGTCAATCCAAAAGTGAAAATTGAAACGTGTGAAAAAAGTGAAGAATCTAAATAAGCGTGTCCAATACAATTTTTCTTCCACTGCTATCGATAGCCCACTCACTCGCTCGCTAGCGGCTAGCCTACTCTAGAATGGTGGGGGGGTGGGAGAGTAGGCACCCTGGGAGCAGAGTAATTCGCACCACCCGCCTGCACTGCATGCAGAGAAAAAAAGGTACGCGCTTTCTTTTCTTTTTTCTTTCCTATTAGAGTGCTCTTCCTGTGCGACCGGACCGACGTGTAGGCTGAAACCTGCAGACAAAGTATATAGAGTATCCCGTGGGAATGGATTTCGGGGGGGGGTTGAGTCTGGGATAGAGTACCTAGCATCATCGATTGGGGGGGGCGGCGCCAAACTTTACCCAAACTTGTAATCGTAAGGCCAAGCAAGCGTGCATATACATACACAGATACGGATTATAGGTACCTAGAAGTACATACCGGAGATGCATTGCTCTGCTCTAGAACCGGGGGGTCATGACCTCCGTATGCATTTCGCCGCTGCGCGATGTAATAGCGAGGGCGGTAATGTTGCAATTGTTGGAATTGGTGCGTTGCAATTGCTTGTTGCTGTGCGGTTGTTGCTGTGGTTGCTACTGTCATGGCCCATCACTCGGCGGAACACTACTCTTGGCGCGCGTGTTCGTTGCCAATCACTACCGGAGATTAGCCTACAATCCCCTACCCGGAGCAGAACAGGATCCCTGCCCCTGCCCTTGCCCTTGTTGTTGCTCTAGAAAAGTGCAAAGAACATCACAACCAAACCCTGCGGCATGCTGACTTTGCTTGCTTGCTTGCTTACTGGGTAGGGGAGCAGGTAGGGTTATTCTGCGAGCTAGGGTAGGGTAGAGAAGAAGAAGCGCATTTCGGCAGCGCAGCCAGAGTCAGTTACCTGTTCGTTCTCGCGGTGGCAATTGGGTCGACAAAGTGCCGGAAGTCGCGGAATGGTAGTACGAGTGCCTGTCTCTCTGTCGCACGCAAGAAAGAAAAAAAAAAGGTACAGACGTGCTCGGGTAGCTACCACTCACCCATCACCGTTGACGAAACCACCCCCCGGACAGCACGCGTGGATTGGATTGGATGGAATGGAATGGACGGATTCTTTACCATGGAAGCGCTTCTTCAGCTCGGTTTTTTTTTTTTTCAGCTCGGAGGGGCAGGCACGGGAAATAGCTATCATTATCATTGCATATGTAGGTACCTGTACCTACAGGTACCTATCGCTACCTATCTCGTACCTGGCCAGTTCATTGCATTGCTCATTGCTAATGGGGACTCTACATGTGGGTTGTATGCAGTTGGAACTTTTGTATGCATCATTTTAGATCCCATGAAACAGGAACCCTTCTTCTTCTTCTTCTTCTCATTGATTCCACACACACACACACACACACACATGCTGCATACACACTCCTTTAGGTATTCCCTCTAATCTTTTCGTTCTCTTTCGGGGGCGTTTGCCATTTCACCGTAGCTCCAGTCCCATGCTCTCGTTGAGCAGTGCGATGTTCTCGTTGTAGCTGTTGTAGGCGCTCTCGTACCCGTGGATGATGCGGCTGGTTCAGCGAGCGAAACGTCAGTGAGCACATACATAGGTCCATAATCAGTGGGGGGCGAAATTCCAAGCAAGGATCGATCTAAAACGCAGAAAGAAAGAAAAGACGAGAGAGACGGGAGAGACGGGAGAGACGGGAAGTATAGAATCGGAATCGGGTGCTGCATGTACATGTACATGTACATATTTTTTTGTTCTTTCTTTGTCGCCCCGAGGGCTGAGATGATCATGACGAAACGATTAGACAGCACATGTTGCGCAAGACGAGACAAGACAACAACAGGGCAAGACAGGAACAGGAAAAGGGCACGAAAGACAGGATAGCCAAAGACAAGACAGCCAGCCATGACAGCCAGACAGACAGCCAGACAGACGCCGGACAGACAAGCCACAGCCACAGCAGACAGGGCAAGACAAGACAAGACACACAAAGCCTGGCATTCCGAGACCGACAGCAAAGAAGAAGAAGAAGATTCAAGAGCCGTGGATAGACCGACAGACAGACAGACTTGTTTCACGCCCCACCAGACCGACAGACCGAAAGCCACACACACACCACACACACACATCGTCTGCTGGCCTGTCTGAGCTTGAAACGGCTCGCACAGAACAGAGAGAGGGCTGAAGAATAAAATATCCCACGTGACAGCGCAACCCAATCAACCCCCAAACACTGAAACAAGCCCGATTCAGACACTCCCGATCCGGACAATCCCAATCCAAACCAAACGGCCAAACAGCCAAACAAAAAATCCAAACAGCCCCCAATCCAAACCCCCCAAACAAAAACCCAAATAAACAAAAATAGAAACCTACCTCTGCTTCCTCATGACCCTCCAATAATGCACCAACGTGAGATTCCTCACAATCTCATGCTCCATGCCCTTCCTGCGCGCCGCCGTGCGCAGAAATTCAACCGTATTATCGATCCGCTCCTGCGAGAACTGCTCCTTCTCCCCCAGCAACTGGCGGGGCTGGCGGGGGTTGCGGAATGCGTCGCGCAGCTTGTCGCGGACGGCGTAGCGCGCCGGGTGCGAGTACTGCACGGCCGCGAGCCCGGCCTTGTAGAGGGCCCGGTAGGCGTGTGTTACTGCGGAGGGGGAGGCGGGCATGGCGGCGGCGGTTGGCTGACTGTGCTGTGCTGTGCTGTGGGTGAGGAGGCCGGGCGGTGAGGCGCAGGTGTGCTGCTGTTCTGGGGACAAGAGGCGAGGCGAGGCTAGGCTAGGGTAAGTGGGGTTAGTCAGCAGCCGGGGTCCGGAGCTGGGGTTGGGGTTGGCAGTTGGGGGGGGGCTGGAGATGGCTGGCTGGGGAGGTTGGCAACGTTCGTGCTTGCTCGTTGGGCTGCAGTGAGTGAGGTTCATCTCAGGCAGGCACGGGCATGTCCGCTGATTGGGCTGGTCCTTCCTGGCTGGTGAGGACCCTGACTGACGAAGTGAGTAAGTGAGGGAGAGAGTGGTCCGTGTCTGTCTGGGCCCTTCAACCCCGATATTTCCCAACCGTAATTATCGTCAGCAACAGCAACAGCGACGCAGGCACCAACGGCACAGAAACATGGAGCTACAACACTACACGACCGAAAACAACAAACACGATGTGGAATCTCCCATCTTGTCCAAGATACCCCTAATTTCCCGGCAGCTTCCATGGGCAACAGTTCAGTTAGTATGGGGCCCCGGTCGGGCCCTGAACCCCACATGATCATTCGAGGAGAACGGTAACGAAGATGAAGAAGGCTGTGCCCCTAACAGCTAACTGCTTGGAAATAAGAGTGAGACATCGCAATCTTTATTTTGTCCTTTCCCTTTTTTCCCCCCCCACTCTTCATCTGCTTCAAGACATGCCCATAACCAGGTAAGCTATCTACTTGGAATTAAGTAACACGATATGTTTCCTTCACATCATCATCTATCTCGCTGAGCTGACACGCGAGAAAAATGAGATTGGAAAGGGGGAGAGCTTGAGCTCGAGGTCCAGGATCCAAGAGGCTTATATACCCCCCCCCCCCCCCCCCCTTGTATCATATATAAACACCATTTGCCCTCCTTCTAAATTCTCTCCACAGAGTGTACGACGTTCGTATACTTATTATACTTAGTATGGGTACCCTAAGCTGCTAGCTGCTGCATAGTCCCCCCGACGCTATGAGTGGGGGAGAGCTCGTATTGCAAGGTATAGAGAACTGCCCATTCGTGTCGTGTAGCCTACACACAGCTTCCTTAAATACCAATACAATACAATGTCAGCTCATTGCAATGTAGCTTAGTAGCTACATGTATTTTATCCCCTCCATAGCTAGTTGGCTGACTGGCTGCGGTACTGTATTTAATCCCAAATCTCCCTTTTTTTTTTGGGAGGGGCAAGCTGAGGGCGCTTCTCGGAGAATTTTTCTCCGCTGGGTTATTTAATAGGTATATTGATTGCATGCTGTGCGCCGGGAGATCTTGCTCCGCGGTGAGCAGAGTTCCACAGCAGAAAATTATATCCTCTCCTCCAGTATAGAGTACGTAGGCTACATGGACTACCTGGCGCGTGGTAAATTTGTCGCGACCGGTTTTAGGGCTTTTATGGATTGGATTGCAATTGTGATTGTGATTGTGCCGGTGCCGGTGCCGGTGCCTTGTTTTTTTATTTTATTTTTATTTTTATTTTATTTTTATTTTATTTTTATTTTTATTTTTTATTTTTTATTTTTTATTTGGGGTTGTTCCTTATTTTACTTTAGATGTGCTTTTTGCTTTGGTGCAGGAAGCATGGTGATCTATGAATAATAAATATACTTTCCCACGATAACGTATGGAACCTGCAAGGTTCTTGCGACTTCCCCCTCTCTCTCTCTTTGGCTGCTAGAAACCTTACTGGCCAACGTCAGTAACGGCCCAGTCGCTGTCCAAGCTTATGTTTATGGTTTGACTCTGGATCATCGACAGTAACTGTCCAGTCAGTGCCCAAGTTTATTGCTTATGCGTATGGTTCGACTCTGGATCATCGACTCATAAAAACCGTTCATCCGCCCATACCATACCTGCCATGCCATTCTCTGCCATCCATTCGTTCGTCTGCGAAAAGAAAATCGCTCATGCTGCCGAACATTTACGTTCCGACTTTTTTTTCCCCTTCTCATCCGCGGCGTACAAACAGCGGGGTAGCTGTGGTGTAGTAGTTGGTTGGTGGTTCAAGTAGTGGCGATGGTAGTGGTGGTAGTGGTTGATTGGCCATGGTCTTTGGTTAAGGTTTGTGGCCACGATGTTTATAGCTCGTCCGGCGCGCCGCGGGGCGGCTGGCTATGTGGGTACTTGCATACATGTAGACCGGTACATGTATGGGGTAGGGCTTGATAGCTCAAGTACATGTAGGTACATTGCGCGATAAGAGAGCGGGGCCGTAGTGGTACTCTGGTGGGGTGATTTGGTGTTTGCCGCGCGCGGGTTATCGATAAGAGTAGCAAATTTTTTCACTGACATGGATGGACGCGTGCTAGATATGTACTTTAACTTTAAGGCACAGTTATTTAGTTGATTGATCATGGCGTCGAGGATAGTGAGTGGAGTAGAAGCTTGTTTTTCTGCCTTTAATTAATTAGAATTAACTACTTTACTTGACGATATAGAGATGGCGCACGGATGGGGTAGAGATGGCATGGACATGGCATATAGGGGACTGACGAATGATGGGGGAAGGGGAGGGGCTAATGACATACTGAAAGCTTAACTGCAGGTCTAATTAGTTGAAACATAGATCTACCTATGGGGGCTCTGAGGCCCAGGTGGGTCGGCGATCATTGACACCGCACGCGCTCTCAACTCAAACCACCATGTGCACACGGGCGCCTGAGCTATCGAACGAATACATACGGATGCGAGCACCCCCAGGTACCACCGATGAAAGGCGTCTTCTCGATCGTTGGCTGCCTGCATGGATAGAAGAGAGCTCTAGGTATTGTGTCATTGCCTTTTTGCGCGCGCGGACGGGTGCTGGCATGACGGGTGCTGGCATGGGTCGTGCCAGGGCCCTTTGGGCCAGTGAGCGGGGTTGCATTGCTGTTTCAATTGGTGTTGAACTGTATCTAGAGTTTCTGAGGGTTAATAGGAATGAGGGGTGATGAGTACTTGTTTATCGTGGTTTCTGAGGGAGTGGATACTAGATAGCGGATTTCATATGTGGTCACTATAATGTCGTTGATTTTGTGTCTTGCCTAGACTCTGTGGCTTGGGAGGTTGCGTAATTGTGCAGCGTTGCGGCGCATGGTATGATCGGTCCCGCTGTAAAGTGTCAGGGCTTGGTGACGTGATATAACATTCAATATTCCTGGGCGTACGTTTAGCTTGGGTGAGTGGTAGAATAGATGGAGGGGCTTCTGATGCCGGGTGTTGAATGTATGTTTTGGCTTCTGTGGGAGTAGTATGTAGGAAGCCGTGATATAGGGCGCTGAGATTTGGTAGATATCTTTGAGTGGAGTATCTTGTGTACTCCTAAGTATCCAGTTTACTACCAGTTAGCAGTCTTCCGAAGCTCTTGTCTATAGTCCTCACGCAAGTGGCACCTCGTTGACTATTACAGGACGCTCTACTGTCAGATCTACCCGTATTGAACACAAAGATGTCTCCAACTGAGTCATCGGCCCGTTGGTCAGCTACCTGTGTAGCCAGCGGTAGTTGAGAAAACGAGTCATAATGCATGATCGATGGAGAGATTCCTCGAGAATGTGGCCACATAGATAGACGTTGTATCCCGTTGAAGTTGTATTACTGACTGTAGAGTGTTTATTAGTGGTGCTTTTGTAGCTGCCTTGTAAATAGAATCAGCATGGGCTGATATCTAGCGGCCAGTAAATTCTCAGCGTCCAGTCCTGGGGACGGGATTGTCTTCTACGAGTCCTAATGGTATATTCTAAAGGACCAATACTAACCATCCTGGTAAATAGTTAAAGACAAACAATTACAAAGGAAGTCTTCATAGCCCTGTTCTATCTTACCTTGTGTCAACACTTTACTGTTATTGATTTGATTGATTAATTCATTCTCTACCGCAGAACGTAGTGTAAGTTCCTACACGGCTCCCTGCGTTGTGCTTCTAAAAACACCCCTCATACGTACCTCATAGGGCAGGAGTCCCTGAGATAAGTTTATCTTTAAATGAAAGCTTAGACCCACTCCTTATTCACTAGCACGCGCGCTGGTTACTCGAACCTGCAACCTGTATCGCCTACATCATGAATTATCACTCGATACACATTTGCACAGCCCCTTTTGCCGAGACGATGAAATATTTTCTTATACTCCCAAACAAGTCTAAGTGCAATGATGATTAGTATAAGTACCATGGATGCTGTTGAGGTCTAGGAAAACGAGTTTAGTGTTAGTCGTGATCAGAGTATGTCGAGGTTCGGCCGAGCGCAGAGGTCTGAGATCTTATACACGGGACGTGCTCAAGTGTCTCTTTTCCAATGCAGACAATGAGCGGTCGGTTCTCTAACACTGGGCCGTGTCTTTGTAGCGAGTGGGTCGGAATTCTATTTTTACCACTAGTAAAATTATACATAGATGAACTATCCATTTGAGAAACAGAGACTTGAGGTGGCGATACCGTTCTCGATCTTGTGTAAATATAGGCCAGTTTCTGCAAGCTACTATTCTTGGGTGTGCTCGGCCTTCGAGTGGAGTTGGAAAATACTCAAGCGAGGGGAACAGGCCGGGCAGATGGTGGTCGAGTCACCTCACGGGCAACATTGGTATCGTCGGTATCGGTAAATTCTCCGGGATAGGGACCCAGCACCTCCACAACCCAAGGTATGCAATGTCCCCTGTGCATGCAAAGACCAAGATCAATAACGCCATGCCCATGGTCCTTGCTCGCAAGAATCTAGTACGTAGTGATCATTTTTATGGACTTGTAATCTCTTTCCGTGCACATACTGTGTCATTGCTTCATTGCTTCTGTATATATCTAGTGTAATGATAGTATTGTTTGATAAAGTTAGTAATCTTAAAATGTCTCTATTCTCTGATAGTCTTATCCTTGATATTTAGTGAAACTCTGCTGTATTGCAGATCCTGTTGCCGGAGAGCATGCACAGTCACACTGGCCAGAGGAAAGCCTAGTCTCAAAGTTGTCTCGGCGTCCTTTCATTTAGGAGCTTATCAGCACCTTCTGTCTAGACATCGAGAAAGCTAGAATTAGAGGCAAATGGTCTTGTGATGTTTCGAGTAGGCTTAATGTTCAAAAGTTCTTATAAACTCTTACTTCGACAGGTGGAAACGTTGAGGATCAGCTGTGAGGTGTTTTGATTATCACAGAGATTAAAGAACAGAGTCTTAAGCTACCCACTTCTTTAATCCTTGAAATTCAGGACCGAACTTTATAAGGAACCCGTTCTTTAAAACCCCTTCTATCACAAGGAAGGGCTTGGCTCGCAGCTAGGATACTGCCTCGATCTCATGGTGGAGTTCGAAAACCAAACACCAAGGATTTATGCCCATGTAAAGTATGTCCTCGAGCCGCATTTTGATGGGATTTTCTATCAGAATCTTCAATATGATGCGGATTCGTGATGTGATGATACGAGATTCCGCTTGTCTTGATGTGTGCCATGGTAAGTGTTGATTCATCCGGAGGCCGGCCAATTTTCATCGATTTCTGGGCTCAGTGCGTCATCGGGTTGATGCTATTTACCAACACCAATGAGACGTTTCGGTAATTAGCAGCCGCTATTAGTCAATAACCTCCTAGATTTGATCAACAGGAGAACTGGACACAGTAGGTGGGGGACGTGGTACTTACATCCTTGCCAAGGACGCACACTCTTAGGGCCTAAGGAAGGTAAACCTTATTACGATGGCTACATAGGTTATCCTTATCTTATCGCATTACCGTTAATTCTCGAGAAATCCGCTATCTCCGCTTCGTTAAATCTTAATTCCAGGCGAGAAAAAGTGTGTATCTGCATGAATCCGTGAAGTTTGATACGCCAATTCGCCTTGGTCCGGACTTACCACATACAAATACGGGGATAGTGGATTATTCGAGAATTAACGGTATCTGACTACGTGTTGGCAGCGTAACTTGGTATCATCATAGAATATCACTCGCACACAAACCGCAAAAATAATCCCTCAACAATAATAAAAATGTAGGTTATGGCGGCGTTCAAGGTATTATCCGCGCCCTATTTAGGTATTGTAACTATAGAGAACATCTAAAACCTAGCTTTTACGAAAATGGGCGAGGCTCGAATACGGCACACCCGTGGGGTTACAATATATGGGGGTTGGGGGACACGAGATTCGAATTCATGACCTAGCAATCCCACAAGCTATTTACAGCATTTAATGAAATTCTTCATGGACAGACTAACACTGTAAAATGTCAATTGCAGTGTAGCGATGAAGTCGGAATTCCTCGCTGAAATGCAGTCCAGTGATAAATTCCAACCGTAAAGAGGTCGTTACTTAACTAAATATAGCTGCTCATTCCAGACAAGCCTATGATAGGATATCTCTAGATCACTCAAGAAAGGTTAAGACCTAGTATTTTCGACTCATCAATGATCACCTAGGCTCCCACGCTTTGGGAGTTCTGCTTGATTTATTTGAGTGGGCATAGGGCACTGGAGTTTGATCGGAAGAGCTTGTATTTCAGGTGGGCCAGAGCAAATTACGCCCAGTTCTCCGTAATCTTCTCCTTTCTTCTTTATATTAGTCAATAGGGCGGACTATTGAGGCGCGGACTAATCTGTTCATTAATGGTCTCTGGTGGTTGGTGTTTCTGGCGGTGACTGGGACAGGACGTCATATACATGATTCTGGCATTGAATTATAGAACCGAAGTTTTAATTAGAATATACTCTGGGCGTTACGGGGTCCTGCTTTTTTAACTTAGGCTAAAAAGTAGGTATTTAATGGAGTTCTATTGTGGTTTCGTATTTCAATAGTAACTTTAATATTGAAAGGTTTGGGTTTATAGTATGTGCATTTAGAATTGTTGAAATTGAGCGTCCTACGTTGCCTATTAGTCTGAGGTACGGACAGGAGTCGGACTAGGGTAGGACGGACGGGTGAGGAGGATGTCAAGTACGGGTCATACTTACTAGGGTCGTGGTCAACGACCTCTCTTCTGCCTTTTCCTTCTTCCTCACTTCTGTAATCAAGCACGAGCAATCAATAAAAAGCTATCATCGTTTTCAACAAGGATCTTGCCATGGGTATGACTCCGTATGAGCTTCATGAGTTAGTTGACAACGATCTCGGAACACTTCCGATTTTTTGAAACTGCACTAGTTGGGAGCAACTTCGATTCCGCTGGGACCTGCTAGGCCGTACTAGTAGGATTGATATTTGCTGTCGACTGTAGTACTCTAGTCTGATCAGAACCTTGATTGGCTTGTTCCATCTTATTCTGTTATAACAGAATTTTGACTGTAAGGATTGTGCAGAAAATCTACATGTAGCCATATGCAACCAGTGAAACATGGGCGATAAGTCTCAAGCCAAAATTACATGTAAACTGACCTTGATAGTCACTGGAAGAGGTTTGTAGAGCGAATGATATGATGCCCCTCCTTTGTGCTTAGAGTTCCCCTAGAGAAGGTTCTGAGGAGTTACACCTTGGTAATAAGGGACCTAAATAGTTTGTGAGAGAATTCAGGAAGTACCAGGTATCGGTGATGAACCCTATTGAAGTGACTGCCAGTGGACAGAAGCATTGTAGATTATAGAAATCCGAAACATGGGTAATTTTTCTTCTATTGTATTGAGGATATTAACGTTTGTATCTTGCATTTGTGGTCGTGATCATGATATTTTCAAGATGGCTATGGGGTAGACTTATTTGATACCTGATCGTTTTCCTGCCCGTTTTGAAATTGCAAATATGGTGGAGTATGAATTCTTTCCCTAATACACCCAGTGCGGACGATATCCAACCGGAATTTGGTGACTGTAAATCGGAGCCCCGCCGGAAACAAACCGCCGAAACAAATATTTATCCTAGGTCTCTTTGATACAAGAGGCAGAATTTATCGATGCGGTTAAGGCATCTGCCAGACGGTTGGTCGGTTGTATGTAGTCACCAGTTGGCTTCGTGAGATCTAGAATGCTTGGCAACGACTTTGCCTAGCAAAGGTCCATCCTTAAATATTCCGAATCGAGGGAACCCAGGAACAGCTTCCTAGATGTTCCTGCAATTGGGCAAGATATCTATTCCTTTTTGGGCTATGTCCCCAAGCCAGTCGCGATCTCAACTTTAACGTCACATGTAAAGTACATGTATGTAAGGAAATTCGCTGCTTGCTCTTTGAGTTGGGATGCATTTAGCGTGGGTTGGACTGCATAGGGCCTCTACCTGAGGAAAAGAACCGAAGACGGCTCTCTGCTTGAACAGATATATAGAGTACGCCTCGATTTGGCCATCAAGTATTTACCATATGGATGTCCTATGCTAGACGTCTATACGGGAAACAAAGAACTTCCGTAGTTGAAGCATGTAGAAATAAGATTGAAAGCGAGATGAGAAATCAGACCATGCATGGCTGATGATGTCGTTAGTTTTCGAGCCAGGACCGGCATCTGTCTCCGTAATTGACTGGGGTGAAGAGCTGCTGTTGCTGCCGACTGGATGGTGCTCGGGCGTGAGTTCCCAGCTCCGTCTATCCCCGGTCAACTCCACTAGGAAGAATCTCTCTCTAGATACAATCATGTAGGTATTTGCCTCAGGGTTAGAAATGGCTCTCTTTCATCAGTAAGCACTTCAAATCAAACCCCGTCATCCCCCATTGACACTGTAAATTCCGTGCGAACTTCTCCGCTCTAGCTGTTGCTGTTTCCCTCTTGTCTTTTCTGCCCTCATCTCTTGTGTATGTGGATGTGTGCGTGTATGCGTGTGTGATCATCATCGTCAACTGGCCGCAACCCCCCCCCACCGCGCTATCCTTTCTTCTTTCTGCTTGAAACTTTCACCACCACATATTCTCCATACTCAATACTCTCGAGTACCCACAGACTCCTCGTACCCCTCCCCCAGGTTTCTGTTATTACTCCGCTGTTACTACTGCTACTCCCCACCTTCAGCTATCAAATAATACCATAATATAATCCCTCTTCTGGCGGTAGAGTACATTGGGTTGTTATTTCTACTACCACTAAATAGTTTGACTTCTCTACCTGCAGTCACTAGCTCCGACCCCAGATTATCACGACGATTGACCTCGGTCCCATCCAGTTAGCTACCTTTACAGCACCCGTACAGCTGTTTATATAACAACCAGAAGGGTTTACCCCCCTATAGGAGAGCCAGATAATAGCACTGTAACACAACACAAACGGTAAAGTGCAGTATAAAAGTGCGCTGTGTAGTCAGCCCTTTTTCAAAATCTCTGATGGCCACCTACGCTACCCGACTTCAAAACGTTCTTGGGCCAGTTGTTGAGAGGGCTCGACGGTGGTCGCAGTCGTCGGCCGCTGAGGAGCGTCCTGCACCTCCTATTCCAGCCCTCTCAGATGAGGATCACGATTTCTCAGCCGCAGAATCAGCCATCGCGACACCACTCCATTCCCCTCGTGCCTTAGAGCCAGTTTTCGAATCTTTCGATGCAGACCCGGAAGACGGGGCTTCCGAGCAGGCATTAGCAATCGGTGATCCTTCTTCAAGGTACCGGCCCCCCATGTCAGGTCAATCAAACGAATTCGCGAATCGGACCCCCGAATCACCACCGTCAACATGGAGGTCGCCAATATCTTTCTCGGACTTACCTACTACCTTATCCCCGACCTCGGAAGACAATTCGGCATTACAGAACCCCGCGAAATCTGCGCTCCCGGAAGATGATGGACAGAAGTTTTTGCGCCAAAAGCTTGTCGAGATCTCAAGGCTGAATATTTCAGACCGGGAGAGGGCCGTACGAATGCATAGTCTTATGTTGGAGAAATATAATGCCTCTCGTCGTCCCGAGGAAATGTTCGAGTTAGAATCTGCACAGTCGGGCCAGTCCCAAGCTAATGCAGAGGAGTCCTACATCTCACAGCACGATAACCCGTTCAAACTTTCACCTCTGGATATCGCAAAAACATATTATACAGGACCACCTACTCCAGATGTAGCAGCTAATGGGGAGTTGGTAGTTCAAGAGGAGATACCAGCTTCTACGGATTTGGGAACTCTCCAAGATCTACCGGAGGAGCTTGGATGCCCGCATTACCGGCGTGGCGTAAAACTCCAATGTTCGACATGTGAGAAGTGGTACACATGCAGGTTCTGTCACGATGAGAAAGAGGACCACGTTTTGATTAGGAGGGAAACTAAAAACATGTTGTGCATGCATTGTGGAACGGCACAGCCAGTAGGGCAGGACTGCAAGAATTGCGGTATAAGGAGCGCTAGATACTATTGTGACAAGGTCTGTTTCCTGGCCGTCGCTTTTTCAAAAAAGAAGATAGAAATACCTATTTTTTTTCCTTCTCTTATTCATATCTATCACATTCTACCCGTCAAGGACTAAAAAGAAATACCATGCTCTCCAACCTTGGAAAGACTTATACAATACTGACTCTGATTTTGTGACCAATAGTGTAAATTGTGGGATAACGACCCGCGAAAAAGCATTTATCATTGCAATGACTGTGGAATATGCCGGATTGGTGAAGGACTGGGCAAAGATTTCTTCCACTGCAAGGTCTCTAATCACGTAAACAAATTGTGTGGAACGAATAAAATTAACAAGTAATATAGAAATGCGGTGTATGTATGTCTATCTCTTTGGAGGGCTCCCACAGGTGCATAGAGCGCTCAACGGAGTGTGACTGCCCAATATGCGGTGAATACATGTTTACGTCTACCATGACGGTCGTTTTTATGGTATGTGATTCAATATTTTCGATCTTTCCAATTCCGTAATCCCGGATGAAACTTACTTTGGTGATGCAGCGTTGTGGACATTCAATTCATCGCAAATGCTACTATGAGCATATGAAGACATCCTACCGGTGTCCTACATGTACGAGGACAATCGTAAACATGGAGAGTCAGTTTCGTGCTCTCGACAGTGAGATTGAGGCTCAACCCCTTCCTGCTCCGTACGATAAATGGCGGTCCCTTATCACTTGCAACGATTGTTCGGCAAAACAGAATGTTCCTTTCCACTTTCTGGGACTGAAATGCGACAATTGTAAATCGTATAATACAAGTCAAATTCGAACAATCCGGCCTGAAAATATGGCTGGTGATGTTGATAGAGACAACAACACATCGCCAGCCGTACCTCCCGCACCGTTAAGGACAATTTCCTCGAATTCACTAGCAACAGCACAACCACTGAATTCACCGCCACGCTTGGCGCGGGCCGAAGCCGGGCCCACAGATGGAGAGGCGGCAATTCTAAATGCAAACCGAGCGCTTGCAGCAGCCGAGGAGGCGATTGGTGTTACGTTGGATATGGGAGACGAGGACTTGATAGTCGATGATGGTTGGGAGACGAATAGTGATGCGGTTTCGGACCTGGAAGTGGACGACGAAGACGAGTTTAAGACAGAAGCGGGTGAAGATGAAGAGGACGATGAAGATGAAGACGACCCAATCCAGCTTATTGGGCACCCATAAATAGAGGCTAAAACTTATTCGGGCAGTTTTTCTTTGCTGAAACCACATCTCATCAGTTGCATTAAGGGAGTTCTTTTTGGAGGATTGTTAAAAATGTTTTTCTTTCGGTATTCCCCCCTCACCCCGGGTTCATGGAGACATTGTGGTCTAAGGTTGTTGGGCCATTCAAGTGGAGTATGGGGTATTTTTTATGTTTCCCCCCCAGCGATAAGGTCGTTTCGTTCGGCGGTGGCTTTGCAGGCGTTATCATCCGTTTCTTTCATTTGCACCTGGGGAGGAGTTTTCTGTTTATTTGGTGTATATGCTTGCATTCCAGTTTGTGTTTTTATGACTGATTATTGACCTTCTATGTATTCAACTACTGCGGCGGGTGTATCGTCGGCTACGGAGGAAATATTTTGTTTCATTATACCACATTCACTATCTGTATTATGATAACCTTACTGTATTATTTATGAGAGGTCGTTCGTTGGAATTGATTGAGATGGCACATACAAATACAAAATACTCATAGATCTTATATTATATTCTGTGCTGTCCATCCAAAAGTGAAAAACATAATTCGTGAGCTTATTGAAATGTGGTTGAGGATCTATATGCACAGAGTATCACTCGCGTGTATGTCGTCATCCTTGGCATGTAAGGATCACAGCGCGACACAAGACAAGCATTTTGAAAGAAATCTATGATGACATCATGTGTCAAGCGTTGTAGTATGAAGATTGAGTTTGATTTAGGTAGATGTAGTCGTCATTTCCACCCGAGTGCAGTAGTCTGCAGAGGGGATGGCTCCAGACTAGCCTGCAGGCTTAGTCTATTTGGCCATGTCCCTGGAATATCACCAATTGCAAGTGATTCCACATTTGACTTCTCAGCCGCCTAAAAACCGATGTTTCGACACAACACAAAACCTAAACTAGTCTCAAATCCCGACACTACATTTAGGTATCGTTTATCGGCTTAGAAAATAAAAAATCTGGTTTTCATAGATATAATGAATAAGGTGGTCGTCGAAGCTTCTCGGCAAGGTCAATATGCAACTTTGGACCCAAAGCTATAGCGCTACATAATCCGGTCAAAACCGTAATATATGAGTCCCAATTAACTGTCGATCCATTTGGTTTTCTTCATGCTAGCACAACTGCTGAGATATAAGATTGTTGCATCACTTATTGACACCCCGGGGACGTTATAATATGTTCCGTCCTAGTCGCCAACATGATTATCGGCCCCTCTACCAACAGGAGAAATATGTGATACGTAGCCTAAAAGAGTTGTTAGGTGACTCCTCTTGTTAATGTTATGATATCACTAATTGCGATATACTAGTACTAGTTAGACCTGTCCGGGAAACCAGATGGTTGGCATTATTACAGTGGTTGATTCACAATATTACGAGGAGCTAGAAAAACGAAGCCTGAATGCAATCTCTGTACTATACTGGAAGCTTCTTATAAATCTGATTCTGGAACTATCTGATAAGTATGGATATACCGTGTACATAATGTGAGCTTTTTTCGTTTCTATATAGTAGTTTCTTTTGTGTCTTCTCTGATCAACTGAGTCAGCCGATTGATTAACTATTGCGAGTAAATATATTCTTGTGAGTCGACAGATTAATAAAGATGGTATGGTGTTGGCTCCAATATGTGATACTAACAACGATATATAGTACACGTAGTGTTCGGCTATGCACTAGTACTCCACGATACGTTTCTTATGCTGTTTCCAGTATGAAACAAAACCTACTTCTGTCAGCCAGCAGAATAAGCAAAATTGTGATCAAGGGAGTTGATAACTATAGAATAATATAATTCAGAGATTGATACTCCACAGCTTCAGTCCGGTCGAAAGCCGGTAGACGCTTGTCTGATATATCGATATGCCGGTGGATAACCCGGCCAAAGAAACGGAGCTAATCACATTTCATTCTGAATAATTTTATCTTTAACGGCAAGTCAAGAGGTAATAGCAATATACATGTATGCTCCTAGGATAGTGGAATGCTAGAAAATAGAAAGTATCAATTATAAATAAAAGTCTCCAGAGTACTGATCCAAATTGGCTAAACCTTATAAGATCCCGGAGGCGGTTAGCTACGACTAAGTAGCATACAACAAGACAACTCATTTACCAGCAGTCTAATTGGTCAGTCAACAGAATCCTGTGGTGACCGAGATGGAACATATATCGTTGAAAATTAGGCCGGAGACTAGAGGCCTTTGACAAAGCAAACGGTCGCAAGCCCAGGAAATCTGAGCAGAATCATCAATATGTAAGATGTTGTAGTTTATGTTAACAAACACAGACCATCCACTACCGTTCTCCAGTTTTTTCTTTTTTTTTTTTGTTTAAACCGTTCTCCAGTTGAATGCCTCAGCCATCTTGACAGTTCATGGGATACCTTGAGGCCAAAGCCTACTGGACTAGGATACATACTCTGTATACTTATTCAAGAATTTTTATGACTCAATCCTTAATCTTTTTCCAAAAACATGGGTGAGTGATAGATGTAATTAGGCTCATGGGTCATCACTCGGTGTTTATAGGTGCTGATGATTGATCGATTGATAATCTTCATGTAGGTGCTGATGGGAATGCTTTCTCCGCAAAATACTTCCGTCCTGCGTATGTAACTGCAGTATGAGAAGCTTCGCTTTCTTATTCCATCAAATTTATATCCGAAAATTTAAGCTTTGGAGGAAGTTTTTAACCCGCTCGCAGAAAGGACACGTACACGCAAGTATGTGCACAACATACAGGTATATATATCGACAGTGGTGAAGACACATGTCATACAAGCTCGGTGAGTTCCTCGAGTTCTAGAGATACATTATCTTCTGCAACCATCTTTCCCTCAACCATACAGCGGAATTGCACCCCGTAGGAGCCTCTCGTCGGTTGTGTGCAACACAACTCACTCATGTAAGGATTCGGTTCAAACCCAATTTCACCTACCGTATGCATAGTTCAACTAGTTTTTTGGATCTAAACGCGTATTAGAAAGTAAGAATTCCAAAAGGTGAAGATAGAGAAGCGTGTCCGTCTTGTAGAAGTAAGCTAACAAAGGAAGTTCCGAAAGGGCTGCTCGATTGATCGCGATTTTCATCTTACCTACCAAACGCAATTGGGTATATAGAATCCAATGTCTATATAGGTTGGAGCGTCTGCATGGATACATAAGGTTTCAGTGTTGTGGAATCATATAGACCTTCTAAACTGGTACATGGTGGCCGGCGAATAAACCGGATACAATAGGCGAATGACAGGTATTACCACCCCGAAGAACAGAGGAGCCATTGCACCATAGCATTGGTATTATTAAGCAACTCTCCCGTTCGGTTCTCTAGGGCAGCGTATAAGGTCTTTCGAAGCCCTTTTGATATCATCCAGATAGAGCCTGTATACCCTCTCCTTGCAGGTGCATGTTTCGGGTTCCGTGTTTCCCGCTTGTTCGGAGTTTACACGGAGGTTACTGCTCTATACAGGTACGTGTAGCTCCGGGAGAATCTTGTTGGATTATATTATTGCATTTTGTAAGTTCTCCTGTGATTTTGATAAGTGGTTTGCGGTGACCCAAAGCTAAGATCGACAACAAAAGATTTGGCGCGACTAGTACCCTCCAATATTAAACAAACATGTTAAAAAGGGATATTGCTACAGTTATCTCAGAGAACCTAATATATCCCATAGAGCAAGGAGATCTAGAAAAGTCTTTGCCAATGACGAAAAGATAATCTGGAACAACGATGATCACAAGAGGGAAAGCACCGAAGCCAATAACGACTTATACTACCTCTTTATATAACACATTAATATCAATTACATGAATTGGCACAATACTGATCTACAGCGGCGGCGAGATACCGACATTTGTTCGCCGGCCCCGGTGCGGAGGAACATTGGATGGGTATGGCCGGTCGCACTGGTTGGGCTGCGCTATATTAACACAAAACATCTTGATAAAGGCAGAGATGTCTGATTTCATTAGGTCATTGATGCGTTCTACCGGCGTACGATATCATGTGACATACTTCACTCTCTTGAAGTACATACCCTCTATTACCTATTCGTAAAATTTGAAGACCTGAGGTGATTATGCAGATGATCTGATAATCAAGGAAGGAAGAAGCGTAAGAGGGTAAGTTGACCCTTGGGGATAACAAAACACCAAACAGCAAGCGACACTCCCGCATACGCAGAGGAATCACACTGATGTGTTGTTTGCTGTTTCTCTAGGGTTATGGGGGGCCTGTTCGGAGGATACCGAGAAGAAAATGCTCGGCCCGGGCCACCTAGATTTAACGATTTCCCGAACATTGGCATTTATCAACCCTTGGTTGCCCTGGAGTGGAACTTCCGTATCAAGGGGCCAAGCTTCATCTTTCCGTGGGCTCGGATGGCTTAGCTAGTACAAGAGACCCTGATGCATATATGGGGAAACCGGAACCTCCCTTCCCCCCCATGACCGAAGAATAAGGTACATATGCCGTTTCTACTTGACGTTTCTAGAAATTGAAGGTAATTCTCATAGATGAACAGCGCAGCACTGCATAAAACCTCGATTTCGTGCTATGCTACAACACGGTAGTTTCTGCTAGTAACCCTGCCAAGAACAGTAGTTTCAGTGCCTGTTCTGATGGTAAATGTATCTGAGCACACGGAATCTAGTCTCGTGCCGTCCCGGTAGGGAAATCTGGAGAACGACACTACGTGGAATGCATTTAGGGGGTGCCTGTTAATGCGGATGATCAAAATAATGCGGTTTGACTGCAGACTTGATTTATCCACCAAAACCGCGAATTGATGGGAAATAATAATAATAATTCACCTCGATAAATTGGAGAATTTGGTCTCCCCCCCCCCAACTCCGCAGGAAGGCCCGTGGTATTAAGTACTAGTTGCAGAAAATAGTGGAAGCTCCAACTACTCAGAGGTCATTAGTACCGTAAGGGTTTAGCTAAGCATCAGCCAATATAAACGGTCGATCATAGCCCGAT